GTTTCACCTTGTGACGTCCATCAGATATTGTAGTTTCTTTGAACTGTTTTGTAATTTTGAATAAAACCAATCTTAAGCTTCCAGCGTCTAGCTTCGGCCAGTTTCATATTGGTAAAAACTCAGTTGCACTAAAATAAACTTGCTGGATAATTCGTCAAAAAATTAGGGTTTAATAAATTTGCTTGGTCTGAAGAACTGGTCGGAGCACGATTTGAACTGTAGAAGCTTTAAAAAATTCAGCCTCCAGGGTCATTCAGTTCAGAAATCTGCAGAGTGCAGTCAGCTAACTACCTGATCGCTTCTAAAGGCGTTCACATTTAAGCCTAGGTATGTATCGTTAATGTTGTTTGATGTAGCTTCATGTATGACCATTTGGAAATTATTACTGTGCCTATGTAATTGTTAATTATATGGTTAATTATGACAATCATTCGAGTGCATTGACACTGTGCTCTAATGTAAGCAGCAGAGTCCTGTGAAAGTGATTGAGATCAATCGACGTTATGTTAGTACCGTTGAGTTAACATTACTTAAAGCCGCGTTCAATGCACGTACTCTAAATATCTGAAGCCCAGTGATTTACATTTTGACTTTCAGATTCACTGCAGGATAAAGCCGTAATAGAAGAATTACGCAGCAACAGGTAAAACCAATTATTACTACGGTTCATAGCTTCCTGAATTGCAGAGACGGTTACTTTTCCTTCCCTAGTGCGCTTATGGAACAGACTAAATGGGCTACCATGCACAAAGCAGTTTCCCCATCTTTGCCAATATTTTCATGCAGCACCGAAAATGAGACCCGGGATACAAATCCTGACCTGTTTTCAAAGGTTTTCTGTAGACCATATTTTTGCCGTTTGCCCCGGATGATAAAATTTAAACTGAAAATATTGAGTTAAATGTTGAAAGAAAATAACCCAAACTCACCCTTTTCTGATATTTTAATAAGTAACGCTGGCAATTGCTGCCAGACTAAAGTTTATCACAAATCTACTAACGCGGATATATATTTAAACAATAATTCACACAACGATGCATATAATAAAAGAGCAGTAGTTACTGTCTATCGGCTTTAATATAGCTGTCAAATAGGTAAGTAGAATTTTCTAAAGAGGAAATAAAGCATACTGAAATAATCTTATGCAATGACAATAATTACATACTGAAACTGATTATAATATAGATATTATGGCGTAAATATTTTAATACAGATATTTTCGACTGCTTTGATCATACTCAGAACAGCGAACAGTTAACTAACTTGTAACCGATT